GATTGCTGAATGACAAATGTTGATCCTGTAGCTTAAGAGAGAGTGATTAACCCAAATCACACGCAGCACTCCTACGAGTCACTGTGTTTAGCATTAGCACCACACAGTACACTTCAAGTTAAAGGAAAACTGCTTGAGCAAAAAAACGCTGCGGCTAATCGCAATCTCATTATAACCATTGCACTACAAATCAAGGAAACACTGCAAAAATCTGGCAGAAAATCACAGCCAACTGCTCAAATAAACAGCCAATAGTGGCACAACATCAAACGCATGTGTGTGTGTGTGTGTGTGAGACTTTGGGGTAAACCATGAAGTGTTAAAACCATACAAATCTCATCTAAATGGTCACACAGAGCGATTGCTAACTACAAAACTTGCGTTTTCAAGTCACGTCTGGCCTAGAGGCTACACTAATTGGGGAAATGCCCAGTCAAAACAGTGCTGCCTATTGTAGAATTACTAGCATGTGTTTCCTGTCAAATTTGAGCGGGCTACACTTCACAATGTGTTAAGGTGTGAAAAAGTTTGTGACTGGGTGTCTCACTAACACTTTGCAGTTGTGAATGTTTCTTGTTTTTTTTGTGTGTGTGTGTACTAAATGCTGATGTTGCAACAAAAAAAAATCTCACTTGTACTTCTGAGAGAGAGTGATCAAATTTGTGCATGCTGCAAACTGCTAAATGCTTGGGCTCTTAAACATCATGTTCCTGACTTGGAAATGAACTCAACTGTAATCACTTCCAGCACAGTCCTATGTGCACTTTTGGCTTTGCCCACAATTACACTGCAATCTGTAGTTTTCCACTTCTGGCACTTACCGAATACTGTACTTGTACATTGTGCAGTATATCTGAGTTTGCACTTCAGATCAGAGTGTATTTGTTGAGCTTTAAGCGTCTATCTCATGTGAAGGTTTTCTTTCATGCAAATACTCCCTGATCTTGTGCATTACCAGCAGACCAAACCAGACCAAAACGTGCATGCTATAATTACTTGTATGGTAATATTTCGGATATCTGAGAGATCCTACATGAGTTTTGAATTAGCATCAACAAAAGCAGGCTGGTAGTTTGGACTGCGGAAGATTAAAGAGACCCTGAGTGTGGTGGTTTAATCGGAGAGGGAGAGAGGCGGCTCTCGACAAACCACACATCCTCCCTGTAATTTACAAGACTTCACACTTCAAAAAGAGAAAGAAACTCAGTACGAAAAAAAGCTGTATGGAAGGCAAAAGAAAGAAACTAAAGAAATTAATAAACTACTTGTTTATTTTGGCTGACTAATCGATTAATTGTCTAACAACCAACTAATCGATTAGTCGAGTTGACTTGATTTTTCCTTTATTTTTAGTATTGATATTTTTAGCAGTTAAGGCCTGTTCACACAAAGGACGATAACTATAATTACAACTATATATAATCTAAAATTAAAAATCATTCTAATTCTATGAGAACAGTTAAATCCATAACACAACTATAACAATAATGACACAGAGGCCAAAATCATTGGAATCACTTTCAGAATGTTTTTTTTTTTAAACTCAGTACGAAAAAAAGCTGTATGGAAGGCAAAAGAAAGAAACTAAAGAAATTAATAAACTACTTGTTTATTTTGGCTGACTAATCGATTAATTGTCTAACAACCAACTAATCGATTAGTCGAGTTGACTTGATTTTTCCTTTATTTTTAGTATTGATATTTTTAGCAGTTAAGGCCTGTTCACACAAAGGACGATAACTATAATTACAACTATATATAATCTAAAATTAAAAATCATTCTAATTCTATGAGAACAGTTAAATCCATAACACAACTATAACGATAATGACACAGGAGGCCAAAATCATTGGAATCACTTTCAGAATGTTTTTTTTTTAAGCTGATGAATGATAAAAACATTGACAGCCAATCAGAATCCATCCTGCTTTAAAGAGCTCGAGCATTTAGAGCCAGATGACAAAACTGCAGCATACGCTTATAACAAACAGAATATTATCGTCCGTTGGTGTGGGCACGAATCAAGTTAGCGTTATAGTTATCATTTTTGGCATGAACAAGCCTTTAGAGTTTATCCACTTTAAAGTGGTCTTACATATTCAGAGAGAGGTTTTTGGGAATTGCGTTGCAAACTGTTTTATGAACATCCCACTACACGCGTTGCATTTTAAGATGGCGTGTCAAGTTAAAAATACAACTACACATCTTAAAGGGACAGTTCACTCAAAAATCAAAATTCGGTTTACTCACATTTACCCTCACATCAATTCAAACCTGTGATAAACAGTCAGTGAGGACCAAAATGTAAACATTTTTCAAAATATCTTTTGTGTTTTGTAAAAGAAAGCGATAGGGTGAGTAAATGATGACAGTAAACCATCCCTTTAAACTGAACACATCGTGCATCACAATCAAGTTCTCTCAAACCAAAAACATTTGCACAAGCCGTCAGCTTTGGACATCAGGACAAATCTCTGTGTTTCGTTATGTGTGCACATGTAACGTCCCATAATTCCCGGCTGTGAGGCAGGCAGTGGGTTCACCCGGGCACTTCTGCTGTTGTAGAGTGCCAGTCAAAGCCAAGATGTTGTGACTGCTGCAATATGGCAATGCTTGATGCTGGAGAGCGCAGTGCTTGTGCCGGGGCCTCAGTGGCAGATGGAAGGCCGAGATTAGTCATGCAACAATGTACTGTGGTCACACTTACAATACACTTCACCCTCCAGGCAGCCTCAGCCGGCCAAACGAAAGGCATGGGTGCAATCCCACACAAACCGGGAGGCACACATCCACCCCGGGCAGCTGTCTCGCTCCCTCTGGTCTACTCTCGCTGCCAACGGATGAGGGCATCTCACAGTATACGTGTGGACGCTTGTGTGTGTCCATGTCCATGGGCGAGAACACCACTAAAGCGCCAGCTTGTTGTAATTAAATGTAATGATATGTATATGAGTACAGACAGTATTTGCGTGGGGTCTTATTCATGTCGTAATGCTAGCAAACTCTCCTACATGTGTCTAAATCACAAAATCTGCTTTATTCGATTCCAAACCATCA